AACAACTTAATTTGTCGGGCGTACTTGATGTTCAGATGTCAATTACTCCATTAGTTAGTTAAGAATGCATAAATATGCATACGTCTTTATTTGAATGAGGTTAGGAAATAAATTTAGTATTTAGATAATATATATATACAAATATTACGACAAATTATTATTATGCATTATAATTATGCAAATACGACAGTATTTACATCATTATTTCTAAGAAAATGTTTATTTTTTGTTGTTAATTCTTTTTGCAAGCCATTGTAAAACGAAATATCTAGAATTATACGTTCTATCAACGAATATATTTGTATTTAATTATCTGATAGTTCATTAAGGCGTAAACTGTTTTTTTACATAAACATACACATGGATTTTCAGATGCTGAAAAAAATGATTCATTTTTATATTTATCAGAATATATAAAACTTATCAGAAGGTTTGAAAAGATTTTATTTTATTATCACATTCCTGATAATGGGATGATACGATTATATTAATCATTTCGTGCTACATAAGGCCGTATGACAAAAACTACAGTTAGATAGTAAATGTAAAATGATAATGAAGTTTTTCCTTTCCTGAAGCTCAACATCTAATTTGAAAAAGGTTTCTAACGAAACTTGCAAAAAATATTAACATGATGAAAATGTTGTTAACTGTAGTAAAAGTGGTTTTATTCAGCGGCACAAAATCCGCTGTTTTGTCATTGTTTGTTTTCTCTGCTTTTACATTATGGGATTCGGTTGTATAAAGAGCGAATAGAGAAAGAATTACGACAATATTTGTAAAATTTATCCTTCCTTAATGTCATATCATCAATTTGGACATTTTTACTGAGAGATTAAGCTGCAGGAAATCCATTAACGATTTCATAATCTTTTCTGAATAGTTTTCCAAAATGTGTATACACTATTTGTTTCTTTATATATATATATACACAAAAATATGTACAAAAATTAGTAAGAGAAATAGTCAATAAGTTTTTACTCGTGACTAACAAAAATGTAGTGATTTTAACCCAAGAAATTCATCAACATGTCTCGAAAATTATTTTTCTTTCTTTCTTTATTTCTTTATTTCTTATTTGTCAATAATATTTTGTTCTTCCAGGGAATCTTTGAGCATTAAATCATGAAGATTTTATGAAATCTTTTTTTTGTCTGAAAATTACTTTTTGTTTTCTTAATTTTAACGGCGTAAATGAATAAATTTTTTGATATTTTTTTCGCTCTCCTTGAAACCTGATATTTTCCCAGACATCATTCTCGAAATTAGTGTTTGATGTGATTAAAAATGTCCCTTTCTTTTAAATTTGATCAATCAAAACCCGATAAAAGGGGAATAATATATTTCTTGTGTGCAGAACTGCTGTTTAAGAATCTTGTCAGAATGTTTAGTGAGGTTTCTTGTTCTTCATTGTTATTTGTTTATTTTGTTGTTTTTCACTTTTTGCTCTCTTTCTCACTCTCACTCTGTAGTTTTACAGGGCTATCATCTGATCATCTGTTCCTATATGTTGCTATAGATCGATATTTCAGCGTTCATCCAGAAAACAATTTTCCTGATTCATTGAAACAACCGATTTGGAAGACGGCGGCAAAGACTAAAAAAGAAAAAAAGAAAGAAAGAAAATAAAAAAAAGTGAGAAATAAAAAAAGAAGAGGAAATAGAACAGGGAAAGCAAAGAAGAACGTGAAAAAAAAAAAGATCAGTAACAAGAATACCATTCGAGGATATTCCATATGACGGTCTTTATAGATGATTTCAGATAATTTATTTCGAAATATTTCGGCTCGAACGACAAAACAGGAAGAACAGGAAATTGGGAGCAATGCAGACACAGATGTTGGAAGAATAAAAAAAACAAAAAAACAAATATAGTGTTGGAAACAGAGTTTTTTTCGGTCAACATTAACATGAAAAGAAATCAAGCAAATTTTATATTTACGTCCTGAGAAAAAAATAAGAAGTGCATAGAAAAAAATTTCGAAGATTCAAAAATACAAATAATTTTTTAAAAGTAAATTATTTCATTTTAGTTTTTCGAAAACTCACAGGCTTCTCCAAAACGAGTCAGCAGAAATCTGAAAATCAATATCGCCCCCAGCCCCCAAAAAGAAAGGGCTTGTCAGATCAGTGCACAAGCGTGCTTTCAACATATATATATTCATCATCGGGGCACCTCGAGGCGATGTAATGGTTAGCAAGCTTGTTTCGCTAGAACATTTAAAATTGAGTAGTGAGTTCGATCCTTACTGGTTACCCCTTACTTTCGGCCTTGTGCCACATCTAAGATACGCTTGGAAAATCACTATATATTTTCATCATCGTTATAATTCGATAGTGAGCCAGACTGAGTTTTCATATTTAATTTATTCGTGAACATTTATTGGACGATAACTTAATGGAATTCATTCATAGTAGGTGTGTGTGAACATTTTATATTGGCATTTTATATTTAGAGTTGTTTGATACTTTGCCTGCGAAATGATCTCAGGGAAATTCACGTTAATATCTTTTATGGTCGTTGATTCGTTTTGCGATTTTTCCTTTACAACTTCCAAATTTTTCGGAGATAGTTTCGTCTAGTGATTTTTTCATTCAAGAATTTAATTCTGAAACAAAAAGAGAAAATAGAAATAAATATCATAGCAATGAATATGACCATTAAAAATAATGTTTTTTCCACAAACACAAATACGGTGAAACTAATATTTATATATAAAAATCATGATATAATTACGTTTTCTTTGTCATGAGCTACAACATTTATTTATTGTACAGTTTATAGTGGAGCACAATACATAGAATTAAATGATTCAAATTAAATGGTTTCCAAACGGTTATAAATCTGGTAAGATTTAATACTAAATCATCGTCATTCAAAATCTGTAGCAACGGTAGAAACTTTCAACTTTAACTTCAAGTATTATATATATATATATATATATATATATATATATATATATATATATATATAATCATAATCTGGTCTGGTGTTTATATATTTATAGATTCTTGATGAAATTCAACAAAGAATCTGCAATGTTATTGGTCTTGACCTGATATCTCTGCTTCAGTAACTATCCAACCGTTGTAACGTAGTTTCCCTGTGCATTTTCTATAAATACTTTCATGGTAATTGTTTTGATGAAGTTCCTGCTATGGTACCTTAAGCTCTGAACTAGCTAAAGTGGTTGGTTGTAACCGTAAGTTCTATGCTAACAGTTTCGACTATCGCACTTCTCGCAATTCCGACTTCTTGCTTCGCTGTCAACGTTAATCTTCAAAAATTTAAATTTAAATCGTTATCTTTTGTCTTCTCAATTGTTGTTCATTTATTGTATTCTCTAATTAATAATATATTTTTCACATATTCTCTAGCACCCAGTAACCCTCTGCGTATTAGTGGCTGTATTGCTTAGCTTCCGATGAAATGATTAAATGTAATTAAGAGTTATTTAAGGGGCACTCGCAGTGCGGTTGCATCTCATGCTAGCTGTTTGAGCCTAGTTAATTCCCAACTATATCAGGGAATATATACTTTAGGTAGATGTTAAGCAAGGAACTTTTCCTCAATGTATCATGTATAATGTGATGCCGTATTATCATTTATCCCTCTCCTGAATAGGAACATGAAATGAAGATCGACCTATACAGAAACCCCATCATCATCATCATCATCATCATCATCATCATCATTCCCTTTGACAGCTTCATATCGTAGCGGGGACCAAAGAACAGGGGAAACAAACACGCTCCTCCAGGATGTTCTGTTGGTGGTGGCTCTCAAGCATTTGTTCTCGAACGCCTGGATCATCTTTCCTGCCTCAACTAGAAATGTCCAAGTCTCACTCGCGTAGAGAAAGATGGATACGTCCAGCGATTTCTAGAGCTTGAATATCCTTGCCAGTCTGGCCATAGCTTCTGTGGCTATAGTGATCGGTGTGCGGATCTCTGCGTAGAAGGGTGCTGTCTTTTGACAGGGTTGCTCCAAAGTGTTTGTTGGACACTTCCTCCTGTGGAAGTGAAGTCCATGGTAATGCTGGTAATGACGTTGCTTCTTAAAAGCTTAATTGAAAAATGAGGTTAGGAAATAAATTTAGTAATTATCTACCTACTGGAAGATTTGTCTGTGGGAAAAATGAATTTAGTTGCCTTTTAACGCCAACAGTAGATGTTTATGTTTTGACAAAGGAAAGTTTCGAAAACTCTAACGATTTTCGTTTCTTTTTACGTCAAGTGTCGAAGTTTACTTTTTTTTCACAGGGTAAGTCTCGAAAACACAGTTTCATTTGTCTTTCTACTCTGGCAGTCAATGTTTAAGTTTTGGCAAGAAAAAAAAACGTTTCGAAAACTCTAATGGCTTTAATTGTCTCGACATCAGTGTTAGATATTTAATTTTTAGCAAAGGAAATATTTCGAAAGTTTTAATACCAGCCGGCCAAATTGAAAATACTGTATTTAATATGTTAAATTTCATTTTAATAAATCTATCATACTTACAAAGAGCAATTTTGTTTGTGCGTAAATTCAATGTTGCTAGCTATTAGCGTTCGTGAAAATATACAGATTTATTTCCTTGTAATTCATTGAAAATAAGTTGTTAGGAAGTGAACAGGACTAGACATCTTACTTTTATTACGTTCCTGAAATCTATCTATCTAGCTACCTTTTTAATCATTTCACACTAAGCAAGGCAATAAAGCTACTAAGACACAAGTAATTAATACAGTGTGAGAATAGAAAAACACTATTAAGGAAAGCGAGAGGGAGAGAGAGAGAGAGAGAGAGAGAGAGAGAGAGAGTAATAAAAGTAATTAAGACAGTAATTAACGGCTGGCATTGCATTTAAATCCTTGAAAATCAAGTTGACTGGAAAGCAAGAAGCTGGAAGAGAGTTCTACAAGCAAAAAGTGCAAGCGAAAAAACACTGTTAATATAGAACTTACGGTTACAACTAGATATGTTAACTGCAAAATGATGAGACCTTGCCGCTAATCTAGTGTCCAACCTCAGTCTATTTCTTTCTTTTTATCTATCTATCTATCTATCTATCTATCTATCTATCTATCTATCTATCTATCTATCTATCTATCTGTACTTTTGTTTTTTTACATCTATGAACTAAATGTTTGATTTTTATCTACGATTTTCAATGTATTCCCTTATCGCTTTTCTTTTTATTGATTCATTCAAATTGCTCAAGTCCACCTTTCCAGATTTTTCAACTTTCATCTTCTCACCTACTGACTACTTTCTTTATTACAGTTTCATTCTCCAGAAATTTTTATTTTTCATCTTTTTTTCCTTCATCCTAAAGTTTGATGACTTCTTACCCACTTCTATCACTGTCCTTTAGCTTTTTTATCAGTCTTTCTCTTTCCATATAATTAACTTCCATAAAATATGTTCCAATTTTCCCTTTTATCTCTCTCTTTCTCTCATCTATAACGACCTCACATCTCTCTCTCTCTCTGTATCTCATTCTTTTTTTCTATCGTCAGTTACTGGTTTGTGAAGGCAAAAAACTTTATATCTTGTTTTATGTTCCAACTTCCATTCGCTAGGCACGTTAGTAAAAAGTAACACTCAAAATATTATCCTTATAATTCAATACAAAGTCATATAAGACTATTCGGATGATTTTATATGTCATACGAAATGTCTAAAGAGGTTTTTTGTCGTATACAGATCAGGTAATAGAAAATTTACACGTAAAAAAGAATCGTCAAATATGGTGCCTGACAAATATTGTTGCAAATGGACTCTAGAAAGAATAATATAATGAGTTCAAATATCTACTGGGGAAAATGTTGGATACTTCCAAAATGCAATAATTCTTACAGGATTAGAATTCTGATAAGAAAAGTCAACAGAACATTTTAACACAACTCGATAATTTATGCTTTTCTTCATATTTCAAGATATTCTAAGATTCTATTTTTGATACTGAATAGCAGATAGCTTTAAATTTAACCGAAGAAAAGAAAACAGATTTCCTTTAAACGGCCATAGATGAACAAAGAGGAATTACGAGAGGGTTTTAAATGAATCGACAGAAGTAACTGGATTTTGCAGATAGAACAGCATGTTTTTCAGGATAAGTACAATGAAAGAAGATAAATAGCAGATTATTGATGAACAGCATTTCCAAATCGCTAATTAAGCAGAATGGTGCAGATCAAATATTTCGTCTCCAGTATTCATTAATGTGAACTGAACTTATAACCACAGCAAGCGCAAAATATCTTGACAATAATGATAATATTCATTTTAAATAATGGATTTCTCATAATAAAAAGGCTTCTTTGCATTTGGTTATTTCAAAGTAGCGTAGATAGTATTTCTGATAGAATGTAACGTTATTGATGTCCGTGCTGAAATAGAAAGTGCCACCATTTTCAAAAAATAATATTTAAATCGGCAAATTATATTTCATCATTAAATTTTCCTGAACAATCTCATCAGTTGAAGGAAGGAGAACGACACTCAAGCATTCTAGGATGAGAATTGTTTTGTCTGAAATATTTGGCAAGTGGTTAGGAAAATAATTTGATCTCAATTCCGTGGTACTCTAATGAAGGAACATTTTGAAAATATCTTCTTAGACTTGATTAATTAAAAAATGTGATATTCTTCACAACATTTGACACAGTTGGTTATAGAATTTGTAAGAATTAAAAGCCGAAGAACAAAAGTTCAGAAAACTCCTGCGTCCCGACGGAAATCAAAAAGGATTAGTAATAGTCTAACGTTTGATTTTGTATTGCAAAATGCCCGCTTTATTATGAGGGATTACTGTCATATTACTTAAAACACTGGTTCCCGTACTATCATCGAAGTTAAGCAATGTTGAGCCTGTTACTTACTAACACGGGTGACCGCTTGGAAATACCAGGTGCTGTAAGCTTGGATGTGCAGGTGGTGTAATGGATAATGGCTTGGTATTGTTAATCGGAGTGCCGAGTTCCAATGCTATTTGCGTTTGTTATATTAACTTACGCGAAAATACCCTTGAGAAAGGTATGGATCCACTTCTCCTCATCCCAGCTATGGGTTAATTAGTTAAGACGTATCACTAAATCATTATTATCTTAAAAATAACTTCTTACAATCTAAAAATTATTAAAATAACCGGCAAATGGTTGATAAGCTGTAGAAAATGATGAACTCAGTCAAAATATTTATCATTAGGAACACTTTTGATTGCAGAGTTAGCGCTGACAGCAATAATATATATTGCTTGTATCTTATTTCTGATGACATTTTTCAGTTCTTGAAGTATGAAGATAAAAATACGAAATATCGTTGGTATAACTTTATACTATTTACATTTTCAATTCAATAATTACGTTTTTCTCACATATTTGTAATTATGCAAAATGGAATTCTTGAAATTATATTTTACGAAATTCGGACCATACTTGGGAAGATGGTCTGAAAGTGGTAGTAGTGGTCAGAATAAGTTTTATTATAATAATGCCTGTGAAAAATCGATTGATATATTTACTGTAACTATTTATATATGTATGTAGATATATGCGTTTGTTCTTGCACACAACACCCTCCACACACGCATATATATATATATATATATATATATATATATATATATATATATATATATACATATTACAGTGGTAAAATTCCTTCTGTGTGACTACCATTGCATGTGCTTTAACGAAGGCATTAAACAAGAAACTTGATGGGGCTGATGAGAAGATACTTGCAGCGGGGTAAACTGTCAGTTGGCAGCAAATATATGATTGACCAAATGCTCTATGGTGACCTGTCAAAGCTGACGGCTACAATTGCTGAGAGGGAACAATTGCTGGAAAAGCAAGATTGAAATAATTTACAAAGTTTCACTTTGGGAATCTACGCATAGGAAACGATCTTGTCGAAAACCAGAAAGTTCCTTTACTGAGCATTTGATTTAAGATATGAAATTATTAAACGATCAACTGTAAATGTGTGGAGAAAACTTTTCATTGGTGTCGGACTGTGACGCATTTTATGATCATCATGATCATCATGAACATCCCCATGATCATAATCATCACTCCACCACTACAACCATCATCATCATCATCTTATAATCTCGTGCAAAGCCAAATGGGAGAAAGAATATTATATTGTGATAGTCATTGAGGTGTGTAATTACTGTTGAGAGATGCACGTGTCGTACAATACAATGTTATTATGTTTTATGATATTTTAAAATATTTTACCTTAATTTCGATAGTCCTTGGTATGACTTTAAACTACATCCGGCAGCAAGGCCTCTAATCGAGAGATTGGATGTTTTGAAGAGCGTGGGACCACCTCCTAATTACTGGTGTCCCCAGGTTCACCCAGACTCGGGGGTGTTATGGTAGCAACTACTAGCGTCTCAGCTATAGGCAAATAGGGAACTCCAAACAAAACCAAAACACTATGAAAGTGAAAAATACATTTTTTAGTAAAAAAATCAGCAATATATATTTTTATAAAAGATTGCCAACAATATTTAGTTATAATAAAATTGCCAACATTACTAATTTATAGTAAAATTACCAACAATATATTTTATCGGTAGTTGAAGCCTTACAATTGCATTCAAAATATATTTAATTGAATCCATAAAATTGTGTTCAAAATATGTAGATTTCGGCATTAAATAATGATCTGATATGCCGCTAAACAAAATCAACTAAACCAAACTTGATTTCGAATGAAGTATTTACATATAGTATAATGGTAGAAATGAATACACAATAGTTTAGACATATACTTTATTTAGACATATACTTTATTTAGACATATACTTTATATGATTGATGTTTCCGCTTTAGAACAGAATATAATTGAAATAAAAGTTTTCTAGGAAAAAATCTAAAGTTCATAGAAACGGGATGAAAAATAATCCGTTTTGAAATAGTTCCAGTTGCAGGCGTTTTTCACCGAAAAATATATATTTATAAAATAATATCAACAAAAGATTTTATTCAAATAAAGAAAATTAAACTCAATCAGTATATATCTGGAAGACATCGTTTTTTTTTGACAAATAGTGATTTTAATTAAACGACTCAATATAGAGTAGCAAATTAAATTAACTGTATCTATAGTGAGGTTCGCGAATATACTATCCACTCGCCAGGAAACTTCATATTAAAATTTTGATATCAAGTTCCTTGACAAATAGTCTATAACATATCCGCAAATCTTTGAGTAGAGTCAAATAAGTTGAAGAATTTATTTTCTTTGTGTCTATGTATAAAATATAAAGTTCACGCGTACAAGTGTATATGTATTGTTATATAGTTTAATTGAAAAATGAGGTTAGGAAATAAATTTAGTATTTATCTACCTACTGGAAGATTTGTCTGTGGGAAAATGAATTTAGTTACCTTTTAACGCCAACAGTAGATGTTTATGTTTTGACAAAGGAAAGTTTCGAAAACTCTAACGACTTTCGTTTCTTACGTCAAGTGTCGAAGTTTAGTTTTTTGCACAGGTTAAGTTTCGAAAACACAGTTTCGTTTGTCTTTCTATTCTGGCAGTCAATGTTTTGGCAGTCAAGGTTTTGGCAGTCAAGTTTTGGCAACAAAAAAAAGAACGTTTCGAAAACTCTAACGGCTTTAATCGTCTGCGCATATCGACATCAGTGTTAGATATTTAATTTTTAGCAAAGGAAATATTTCGAAAGTTTTAATACCAGCCGGCCAAATTGATACTGTATTTAATATGTTAAATTTCATTTTAATAAATCCAGTATACTTACAAAGAGCAATTTTGTTTGTGCGTAAATTTAATGTTGCTAGCTATTAGCGTTCGTGTAAATGTACAGATTTATTTCCTTGTAATTCATTGAAAATAAGTTGTTAGGAAGTGAACAGGACTAGACATCTTACTTTTAATACGTTTCTGAAATCTATCTATCTATCTATCTATCTGATAAAAATATACTTTTAAGTTATGCTATATTTACGGTTTTATTGATATCTGGGATAGAGCTTATGTAAATATGAAAGTGGACATTGAAGTGAACACCAAGCAGCAACGGTCTGTTTCATGCTTAAACGCTATTTTCAGGACATATATATATATATATATATATATATATATATATATATATATATATATATATATATATATATATAAAAATATATAGAAAATAGGAAAGAACTCGTTAGGTAAATAATCCAAATTTCTTTTAGTATTTTGTTATTATTTAAAAAAATAGTGCTTGATACAAAAGTAGAGCACACATATATATATATATATATATATATATATATATATATATATATATATATATATATATATTCATGCACGTTTCATTAAATAATATAGACAAGTGTTTTCTATTTATTTTATGTAAATTTTTTTCGTAACGTCTGATAAGTTTAATAACATTATCGTTGGACGAAGAAAGAAATTCACAATATTGATCCATATTTTTTTTAATACAATCTAAGCTTTCGGCTTACATAAGCCATTATCAAAGATGTCAATTACAACATATTAAACAATATACGGACACGACAGTGATGATAGTCTGTCATTGTTTACATAGATGATTTCTAAGCAACGATAAATAGTTTATAAATTCAAGTGCCCTTTGGGAGAGTGTATCTCCAACGAATTAAATAATATTTATGTTGGTCACACCACAAACTCGCTTTCACGACGCTTGACACTACATTTGAATGAAAACTCTAACATTTTTAGGCATTTAAAAGAACATGCCTGCCCGCACTCACAATTCTGTAAAATACTTGTCGAAAACACAATTATACTTCGACATGAAAACAATAGACAAAAACTAAAAATCCCTGAAGCATTATACATCAAACAGTTGAAACCCAACCTAAACAAAATCAATTATAGCATCTCTACAAATATTCTTAAATGTCTATAATTGGTAACAGAAGCCATTGATTTATACCAACGGCTTCCCATACTTCTACAATTCACTCTCGTGTGGTCATGTGTGACGTCATGAGATGCGTTGCGATTTTCGCTCCTAGCGTCTTATATGCGCGTGTTTATCTTTATTCGTGTCTATATTATTTAATGAAACGTGCATGAATGAAAAGATGCTGCCTAAATACACAATATATATATATATATATATATATATATATATATATATATATATATATATAACATTAACATTTTTACAAAAAATCAAAGGCATAGTAACTATAAGCAAGGACGAATCTTTACTTAGAAACATAAATACACAAAAAATTAAAAACGCTAACCTTAGCGTAAAAAAATAATTCACCTGCAAGATCTACATTAGAGAGAACCAATATTATTTACTAATTTACATGTTCATTAAGGAGCTGTGTCCCTGAACAATGGAAACCTACCAAACTTTACCTGTAGCATAAACGTTGATAATATAAATATAATAGCGTCATCTACATGCAAAAATAGGTAAAAAATAATGGAAGCATTATTAATAAAAAAAGAAAAATCCAACACTCAATAATATCAACTATGAAAACAATGTGCTGACCGTTTTTGCAAAATAAAAACTGTAGATACATACACAAAACAATCCATATATTCAGTTAAAAATAAAATAAAATTCATCCTTGATGATGTCTAAAAATATAGTCAAAAGCACTTGGAAAACATTCGGACAATTTTATGCGACGAAAAGAAAAATATACGAACACACGAGAAATTAAATAAAAAATTCAACCACTGCACCTTGTCAGTCGTTTTCAACGAAACGTGCATAAAATAATGATTGTTGCTCAAATAGACAATATATATATATATATATATATATATATATATATATATATATATATATATATGGAGAGAGAGAGAGAGAGAGAGAGAGAGAGAGAGAGAGGATATATGGGATAACTATATATAAATTTTTATGTAATTTTTTTATATATCA